AATTTGCTTTGAACAAGAGCAAACCCAAATCCCAGGGCCTCTGAATAAGGGGAGTTATGGGGGAGGAATACAATTAATGTCTTAATCCTGTGTCACCCTTTCTTTGAGACACTGTGCTACATTAAATTGATTTTGCAAATGAAAGCTAAAAGCTAAGCAAAAGCCACCAATCTATTTTGCCTAAAGATGATTTTAGTGCTCTTTATGTTCCTCTAAATGACAAACCAATTTGTTACCTGCCTACATAAACATTTGCCTATATTAGCCCCAGAAATGTTTTATTTTTATTAGCCCAAACTTTATCTTTTTATGAAGACACAGGGGCCCAATAAAATTAGTGTGCAAATATAATACCCAATTTGCATTTTTCCATGGTCAGCAGAAAAGCTGAGTAAAATCAATTTGATATTAGGTCAGCATATACATCAATAAAGCATACACTCACACAGGACCATTGTAATGGTCCTGTAATTTCTATGCTGCCAGAGTAAAGAGATTAAATAATATTAAATGCTCCAAAATAGCTTTACTTTTAAGAGGAATGTAAAAAGAAAGAGAGACTTTGGCATAAAACGGGCAATAAAGGATAATAGTTGCACGATCTCCAACTTTAAAGCATCGTGACAATGATCTGAGAGGCAGCCTCCCTGCGAAATGGCCCCAGTTCAGCACAGCTCTCATGCCAAAATTATGGTTAAGCGCATTTTTTGAGCACCATACAAGTCCGTCAAACAAATCATGTGCTTAAGCACCTGACAGAGTCAAGGACAGATCCTGAATGAAAATCCAAGGCTGGGAAGGCTTTGGATGCAGTTTGGAGCATTGGATGCAGGACCGCTGCTGAGTAGATGGCCCGTGCACAGAGGAGGCTTTGCTGTCAAGAGCCTGGGCAGGACAGAGTGCAGGTGATGGGAGTCCCTGAGCCGTCAGGGTCCCCTCTAGCACTGCTGCCCCACCACAGACCTGACCTTCTGTGGCTTCTGCATGGCAGACAGAGTACTGCTGCCTCCAGTTCCAGGTAAAGCTACATAGGAGTGGGTGTCTGACTCTCAAAACCCGTGGCCCAGTCTTTGCTCGTCGCTCTGTGGTACAAATGGCATCATTTTGACCTTCTGTCCTGCTTACAGTTTCTCTGTACTGCTCAAGCCAGCTGGAAGAAGGCAAGAAAGAAAAGCTGATCTGGTCTCTTAGGGAAAAACCAGAGTACAGTAAATGGTGCCTGGATTTGATTTGCTAAAGCAGGTTAATGTGGTGGAGACGAGGCTCTTGGGGCAGCGCCGACACCGGTGTTCGCTTTCCTCACAGATGTTCCAGCTCTGTTGGACACAAACGAGCTGAGGTGGCACAGAGGAGTGTAATGCAATAGAGTTGTTTTGATTTCCTCTGTGGAGTCTTTAACTCGCAGGGTTTTGAATAAAAAATGCTGGCAGCAGCCCACCTCGTACTGTGAAGTACCTGAGACAGGATGACAATATGGAATTCGTTTGCAATGGATAACATTCCATTAAAATATATATGGATATTTAAATCAAATCATTATTTGGCCATATGTTTTTAGGATGGTGGATTCCTGTGGATTAGAGCCTTATGGTATTCCAGAGCTGACAGTATTTTTCTACTACCTTTCCCAGCTTGGAAGTCTTCTTTGAAGGAGTGAAATTCACTCCTGAGTTCTCCTGATGGGCAGCAGCCTAAAGGCTTTCTGGACCAGATTTCGAGGGTCAGACCTCTCATCCTTAGTGCCAGTTTGTGAACTTGAATCATCAGCTATCATGGCTGCAAGACCTAAAGAAACCACAGAGCTGCAGTCTGATTCTGGTCTGAAAAGGTGGCAGAAAATGTTGGATGTTGAGGAGTGATGTTCTACCTCAGCTCTGTTATAGTACTTCATCTTGGTGGTACGAATGGAATTCCATAAATTTACTATTTCTGCTTGAAATTTCTAGATACTTATCATTAAGCTGCTATATACAAATACTCTCATTTTCATGTTTTTATAGTAGCATAAAAATGAAAATTGAATGAAAATGGCTAACTGAATTTCCTGCTTCCCCATGAAGGTTTAGAATTTGATCTGATTCTCTCTTTGTAAGTAGAAAACATTTTCTGTGCAACCCTGCTTTAGGTGCAGTGGCATAATAAGCAACCAGGAGTGAAAATTGCTGTTTCCTGGGTGAGAGCTGAGGGAGTGCTGCCAGTGGGGTTGTTTTGGGTGATTGGCTTGAACATGGCAAAGCTTTAGAGGGGAAGAAACATGGGTTGTGGGCCAGACAGCCCAAGGGATATTCAGAGTAAGAGATCTGAGCTGCTTGCTTGCTTGCTGCTTATTGAGCTCCTGTTCAGTGTGAAATTTGTGTGGTGTGGTTGCTGGAGAGCCAGAATAGATTCTGAGGCTAGTGATGGTTGTTCTGAATAGATCTCAGATGTTCAGAGCTTTGCTCATGGGAATTCTCCTCTGAGCAGAGGCAGGATGGCAGGGGGTGAGTAGCAGGACACCAGGGTGTAACACACAGTGACAGATTGTTTAGGTCTCAGTCATAAGTCAATGCAAATATTATCTATGATGATGATAGTGGTAGCCTTCAAAGGGAAGAGAAAATGTTCATTTCAATCTTCAAGATACTTTCCAGAACAGAAAATGAAAAAGGAACCATTCCAGACATGCCTACTTTTCTTTCCTTTCTTTCCAAGAAAAAAATACTCTTTTCTCAAAGAGTTTTGTTTCTAAGATTCACTGCTATGGTGTTCAGAAGGGTAAAAGTGGTACAACAGATTTCTGTGCATTTCCACAAGTCTCAAAGCTGTGGCTAAATAGAATGTGCCTCTCTGTTATTTTGCTTAAGTGCTTTTGGCACCTACTAAGCAAAGCTATACACTCCTAATCTTCTTAATTTTGATTGATCTTTTCAATCCTGAAGTAGAAAATAGGATGTATTTCTAATGTAACATTTAAATTAAAGAGCAAAATGGTGTTTTATAGTTGTTTAGTGGGTTAAACTTGGTTAGCAGCCAGATGCCCACACAGCTGCTCCCTCTTGTCCAGGACAGGGGGAGAAAATGAAAAGGAAAGGCTCATGGGTCAAGAGAAAGAAAGGGATATTATTTACTAATTGCCATTGTGGGCAAAGCAGACTTGACTTGTGGGGATTTGAATTTATTGCCAGTTAAAATAGACTTGCATAGTGAAAATTATTGATTATAATAACGATTCTAATAAATGTTATGAAGCATAAATAACAGCAATTTTGTAATTGAAAGCAAACAAAGCCAAAGCCACAAAACACCCCAAACCAACCCTCTGTCCAAAAGTTTCCTAACCAGTGCCGTGGCAGTCATGTTGCTGAGCATCACATCTGTGCTGAGCCACAGTCCTTCCAATGCAATGCTGGTTTTCCAGGAGGGGAGAAAAACTCATCTCCTCTTGCAAAAGTGATCCCAGCCTTCTCCTTTTGTTCTCTAAAGTTGGTTTGCTGATTTATCTCCTTCCTCCCACACTACTTAATGTTAATGCAAATGATGTGGGATGGTCATTGACTTCTAGCTGATGGGGTTGTGCTCCTTTTCGCTGCCTCCCACTTTTCTTCTGCCAAGAGGATTGACCCCACCAGCTGCTGGGTCTGGCAGAGACTTTCTTATATTTCTTTGCCTCTGGATCTCAAAAACATCAGAGAATGGTGAAGCTGGTGTAAGAAAGAACAAACGAATGTCTGAGTTATAGGGAGAGCAGCTGCAGGACTTTGAGATGCTAAGAAAATAAAAGAAGAAACCTTGCTGCAATTGCTTCCTGAGAACAGAAGAAAATGAATTGATTATTCCTATGGCTCTGTAAGGTGTGATTTGCCTTGGGGAAAATGGAGCATTTCTAAGAATTTGGGAAATTTAAAAAAATTAACTAAGACATGGTCTTGAGGACTCTCACGTATCTTTGGAAATAAAAGTCTGGCTTTGGATATGTGTGAAATACATCTACCTAAATAAAACAGAAAAAAAAAAAAAAAAAGAAAAAAAAGCTTGGATTTTGTTTCCAGTCTGTAAACTTTTTACTTCAAAACAAAGATTTAAACTCTCCTAGCAATTGGAGCCTGCCGTGTTTAGCATTACCCCTGCTGTGTGTGTTCAGGTTGAGATAAGACATCTAACTGAGGTCCTGACTTCTTATAGTCTTTAAAATTCCCAGAACCCATTTTGAAAGAGCATAATTTTCATTTACTGTTTATTAAATGCAGTCACAGCACAAACAAAGAAAGGATTCTGGTTGACCCATGTAGTTTATGGCTGGAGCAGGTGGCCAAAGTGGTGTGGTTTCAAAACTGAGGGATTAACCCATGCTAAATTCAGCATAGTTGGAATCTAAATCTGCCTCCCACCTATCTGTAATTTGAAGGGGATATGGCACATTTTCATGCCTTCACTGAAGAAGGTTCCTGGATTTAATCTTGGCCTCTTTTCTATACTTTTTTTTTTTTTTAACTTTTCTTTCACTTAGAGCAGGTGCAGTCCCAAACACTTAAGAGATTTAAAAAAATCACTTCTAAATCCTCTAGAGCAAAGCCTAATAAATATAATTTGTAGGACTTTGCCATTGTCTGGCACTGTCAAGGCTTGTACCAAGTGTAATGCAGGGTGCAATTGGCTTTACCTTGGCTGGAGCCCCACTGCTACTCCTGTGGCCCAGGGGGACATTTATCACGAGTGAGAGCACAATTACAGTGCAGCTAAACTCGCTGCAGTAAATCCCAGGGTTTGAAAAGAGAGCTAAATTTGTTGTTGCAGGTTTGGCTGCATGGCATGAGTCCTGCAGCCCTTGTGCAGTCTGGGAAGGAGACCTGGTGACGCTGCCTCTTTGCTCAGGGGTTGTGCTTGTCTATAACGCGCGACTGATTTTAATAAAAGGATGTGCTTTCAAAATGAACAGTTGTTTGCTTCTGCATCTGGGGCACAGTTTAATGATCTCCATTTCTCTCTTTTCCCCCTCTGTCCCCTGCCCTTTTCTGCTGCAGCAAACCTGCGTCCAGGGGCTGAACAGAAAGTGGTGTTCATCACTGCCCGGGTCCATCCTGGGGAAACGCCCTCTTCCTTCGTCTGCCAAGGTGAGCGTCTGCACCGAGGGGGCAGGTCTGCTGGCATCTGATTTCCTGCTGATGGTGCATGTCTTTGGTGTGGAGAGCTTTGGCTCTGAAAGGGTGACAGGTTTTTCCACAGCGAGGGTATCAGCAGAATGTCTCCTCTGAAACCTTGGGGCCGCAGGAGTAGATTGTCTCCAAGTCTTGTGAATGTTTGCTGAACTTGGGCAGAATTGGGCTCTGAAGCTATTCGGGAAGAATGAGACAGTCACACTCATATACAATAGATTTGTGTAAAGGTCCTTTCCTTAGAGCTTTTCCAGCCCATTTTGCTGGAGTTTATTCTGTTAACTGCTTCTTTTTTTCTTGCTGTGTACCATCTCCAGCTTCTTTTCCATCACAAAGCGGTGACCCTAGTTCCAGCTGAATTCTAAGAGGCCTCTCTTTGTCTGAAGCTGCTGCTCTGAGGAACACAGCTCCCAGTGGCTGACAGCTGTTTCCTGCACAAAGCATTCCTGCTAAAAATAGAAAGCAAATTGCCCAGCTTGTATTTATAAAGAGTTGTAAATCTGAGGCTTGTGGGTACAAATAAATAAATAACCCTGGCACGCCTTCATATAATTTCATTGTATAGGTCTGAAATATCGTACTTACGCATGTGACTGTCTGCAGCAGTAAAGTGTTGATGGTGTAAATCAAAGCAGCTCCCCTGGAGCCAGGGCAATTTGGTAATTCAGTGCAGCAGCTTGGACCTGGCCCTGCTGAGCCGATGAGTTGCATCAATCAAGCATATGCAGAGTTTATTGCGTTGTCTGCTCACGGTGCCGCAGACTCGGCTGCCATTGGCCCTGCTGCTACCCAAAGACCTCGGTGGGGAGGGTCTGGCATGTGTTCATGGTCTTCTCTGAGTGCTCCTCATCCTGGCAAGATGCTGTGCTTGGCATCTCTCTGAGGCAAAAGGTCAGCAGCTGCCCCTTCTGCCGCCCCAGCCCCGTGGGCTTGCAGGACGCTCTCCTTGCTGGCCTGGAGGAGCAAAGGTAAAACCCTTCCTCTAATAAAACAATGCTTCAGACTGAGAGCAGGAAAACTCAGCGAGTTTCCCATCTCCTGCCGTGCCACAGTCAATGCAGGGCATTATAGCACACATGATGTTTGTTAATGAATATGGATTTTTAATTGGCTGCTTTGATTCTGTTTGTGGCTGCTGGCATAGCCCTGTGAAATGAAAGCTGAGGCATGCTGCTGAGGTGGTGCTTTGTAAATGATGTTATTTTATTTTGATAAGGGAGAGTTTATTCAAAAGGGAAATAATCAAAAAAAGGGAAAAAAAAGGATATGTAAAAGCGTGTGGCATGCTCAGCATGATGAAACAGCTAGAGAGAAGTCATGCTCTGATTGTCTCACAGAAACTTTGTGCTTTGTAAGAGAAAAAAACAACAAAGAACCCCCCACACCCAAAAAAAAACAACAACAAAAAAAGCAGGAAATATAAGAAAAATAACAAGGAGATATCAAGGTATCAGTTTTGGAGAAGCACATGAGAAACTTGCTGTGGCTGCACTTACGGATCCTCCTGTGGATCCACAGGCGCTGGACTCTGCACTGAGCCCTGCCCCGTGCAGGCAGAGCTGCCTCGTGTGCAGAATTAGCATCCAGACAAGCAGAAATGTCAAACATTTCAAGGCTGTTGCAGCATTGTTTCCAGCCCTGCCAAATGTGAAATTGGGTGCTTGCTCCATCTTTGGAAACTTTAGTGTGGGAGGATCAAAAGAAGGGATAAAAAAGATTCCTCTGGCATTCAAGTTGAGGGCACACTTAGGAATTTTATTTCTGGAGTCTCAGGAAGCTTTTTGGCATAGTTAGGTGTTGCAGATTTTATATCCAGATGCCAGCTCAGTGCATATGGAATGTGTCAGGATTATTTTTTTTTCTTGGTGGAGAGATTTCTTCTTGAACATTTGATGATGCTTACCACCTGGAGTATTAAGATCTGGAAACTGATCCCAGAGATTCCCCGGGAGCAAGCAGCATCTCGTGGATGGAAGACCAGAACTGTGACTGCCCAAGCTTGGAGAACCATTCCATAGGGGAATAGAGAATGAGCTAAAAGCTTTATATTTTTTGTTTCTTACTTTTTCCTGTTGATTTTTGGTTTTATTCAGTTCAGTCCTTGTCTTCTTTAAAGCCTGAAGATAGTATTTGACTCCTTACTCATTTTTTCTAGCTGTCTTTGAGCTGGCCAGTTTCCTTCCTGCCCTCTTTGGCCTTGTCTCTGCTGAGGGATTTTTAGAGTATATTCCAAACAGGAGCTTCCTGGGGCCTGACTGAATCTACCTATTACAGCTCCCATTGTTTTGGGGTTTTTTTTGACTAGTCAAGGTTCCTGAGAAGCAAGTTTTCTAGCTTTAATACATCAGGAGATGCTCGTTCCTGTCTTTTCATCCTTTGTCCTCCACTTTACCCACGTATTATGAATAAGGGTTTTATGTTCCTGTGGGGAAAAAAAAAAGCTTGTCATCTCTCTGTTCAAAATTGTTTCTCTGTCATGCTTCTTCATATTCTACTATGAAGAATCCACTGAAAAGTGAATTTTGGATACAAATGCCCTCCATTCCTGCAAATGTGCAAGTATTTTAAACTTGGATGCACATTTCTGTCACCTTCCAACTGTGGAGTGCTTGCAGCAGTAGCCAGACCTCCCTAGAATCATCAGGCACCTCATCCAGCAGTTACAAACAAATGCTGTAATATTTCACACGTGCTGCAGCTGCCGAGCTGCAGTTCAGTTCCTTAAAAGGCTGACAAAACCCTGGAGGGCCTCTTCATAAAAAGATGGATTAAGAGCCTTTTGTTTCTGTTTTGGTCTTTGAAGAGTTAGTACAATGGTTAGCCTTTTTAGGAAGTTTTCCTGGTGGTTCTTAACTGCTTGTGGTGGAGCTCAGGGCTGGAAATGGAGGCCCAGTCATCAGAGAATATTCAGAATATTCACATGAGTACCTTTCACATCCAAAGGTAGGGTGGTGTTCTCCTTAGATGGTGATGGTCACCATGAGCATTGATGTCTGTACCACTTTTAGGGATGAATAAGTAGGAGTAAGGCCCAAGATTAAAAAGATTTGTTTTCACTTTGCTCTTATAGACCATTTTTTAACCAATTGGAATCACTGCTGCTCCTGGAGGGCCTTTGTAGTGAGCACAAAGAAGTGCAAATTCATCTCACAGCCTGAACTCATCTCTCCTGGGCTGTTCAGATTTCTGAGGGGCTTTTCTGAAGTTGTGGGTTTAGATTATTTTCCTTTCTTAGATATTTTTCCTCATTTTTCTCCCCCGCAGTATTTTCATTTAAGAAAATGTGTGCTGTTTTCTCTTCCATCCCTTACTGTAAAGGCAAATTAACTCTTACAGATGTCAGGTAACACTGGACTAATGTGTGTAAAGTCTGTGTAAGCCCTTACCCTCCAAACACTGGCCATAAGGCAGCTTTCAAAAGGCTTGGGTTTTATCCAAGATCTGGCAATAGGGGTATTTTTAGCCCCCAATATTCCCAGAGTATTATTTTTTTCCCTGTGTTTCCTAGATTTTATTTTCTTTGTGGGATGAAAGCAGCTGTCCCTCACTATTCACACACACAGAAAGCTGTAGGATACACTCCTATGTTTCAGTTTATCCTGTATGCTCTGACTTTTGCCAGCAGTCAGGAAGTCCAAGGTTAAACATGTCTAGATGTACCAAGACATGTATTTCACTCATTGATTTAGCATGTTCTGTTATGTCATTTGTTGATTTGCCAGTGTGGCATCCACCATGCCATCTAAATGCAGAAATGAAAATTTCTAGCCTCTACTAGGGTTTTCCAGGCTGGGATGTCAGAATGGAAAACCCAGTGCAATGCAGGAGGGAGAGAAATCCCACAGCTGGGTTGGAAGTTGCTGAGTATCTCAGGCTCAGCAATTTGACCTGGAGCTGACCTTGAATCTTACAGGCTGAAAAGGGAAAAGCTATTAAAAAGAAAATATAAGAAAAACAGACACCTGGGTCTCTTTTCCATAAGAAACAGAGCAAAAATTACTTTTTGATCAATCTTTTTTTTTCTTTATAGCTGCTTAAAAGAATGCTCCCTCTTGCTTCACCTTATATCAGATGATATGAAATGAAGAAACAGATTACACTGGGAAAAGTCTGTTGATTTTCTGTTTGCATTCTTTGTCTGTTTTTTTAACCCTCACCCACTTGCCAGCAGAGGGTAAGGGAAAAAAAAAATCTGAAAATTTGTAAAAAAAAAATTGATTCTAAGTTTAAAGATTGGAATAGCAGGCAACAGACTGCCCAAAAACAAGTCTCCCAGCAGCTGTCTCTCAAGTTCTGCTGTTGCACTATAACTCTGGGCTAGTGGGTAATTGAACTTGCTCTCTATGTCACCAGGATGCTCCAGGTGCTATGAAGGATTTAATTCCTACAGATTCCAAAGTGGCCTCTTAAAGCTGTTTCCAGTGTGTTTTGTGGAGGCAGTGCCTTCAAATTCTTTGAATTTGATCCTGCATGAAACCTGAAGGAGTTAGCAGGGGAGCTAAAATAGAATAAATGTGGCTTGGGTGAGGTTTTTGTTGTTGTGTTATGGGGTTTCTTTTTTTTTATTTTGTTATTTTTTTGATTTTTGTTTTTTATTTCTTGTGGGAAACACAGTCATAAGTGTGAGAAGTGTCCTCTTGAATCTTGTTTCTTCTACTTGGAATTTTACCCAGACTCTGTGTTTTCTTATGAAGAAAGAGGAAGAATAAACTGTCAGGGTTAGAAACTGCTTTTCTGTTTCTTTTATTAAGCATAAATCTTTTGAGCTTTAGGACTTAAGTGATAGTAACTGGAGGCCAGGACATGTTTTACATGCAAGTGTAAATGCAGCCTTTACACGTGAAAATAACCTTTCTGAAGTAGCAGAGGTGATGACCTTGCTTAGCTCTCTCCAGGGCATAAATTTCTCCCAAGGGAAAGGAGCTGAGTTCTGTAGCCATTGGTATAAGATGCTTTTG